GGGGGGGGGGGGCCGTCTGGTTCTCCCCACACCTGCAGCCTTGCTGGGGCCGGCTCGGCTCCCGGCTCCGGGGCTTAGGCCTCAGCTGGCGCCCAGAGGAAGTCAGGGGCTCCCGTCTTTACGGTTTATCCTCACTGTCGGGGACAGCCTTCCGCCTGTCTGCTCCCGGGGTTACTTTCTGAGCTGGGCTGGCGTGTCCTTTACGAGCCGGGTCCGCCCCCGCTGCCGGCCCCAGGTGTAGGGGACAAGTGGGCTGTGTGGTCCGTGGGTTGGCCTGCAGCTACATGTGCCCACTGCCCAGTAACAGGCCGGGGTGCTCCGTCTGCTGCCACACAGCCCTCCCCAGGTCCCCCGGTCCCCGGGGGGGCGGGGCGGGGACAGGAGGCAGGAATCCCAGCCTCCTCATCTCCTCGAGATTTTATTTGCAAAAACGTCAACCCGACAGGAAGTTTGCAAGATCATAATGAACACCACCCACCCTTCACCCCGAAATGGCAAAATCTTGCAAAAAATAGCAGTTATCAGCATTTGCTGCCAACTTTGAGCATTGCTCTCAACTTTATAAAACAATTTGAAAGTTCTAGACATCATAACGCTTGGCCCCTGAACCTGACTTCAGGGGTCTCCTGAGAGCAAGGCTCTTCTCCCCGCCCCCCCCCCCTCCCAGGACGAGTCAGGGTCTGTCATGTGCAGCCCCAGGCAGGTGTCCCCAGGCAGGCCTGTCATACTGTTCACAGTTGTTTGGACTTTTTGGAAATGAGGTCCTACCCAGGACCAGGCATCCAGCCTCGGTCTGTCTTGTGTGGCTCTGGGATTGTGGTTGTGGAAGACACCTTCACTCCAGGTGTTTCCCCTTGCCCCCGGCCCACCTGGTTCCCTATGGCGTTTGGGCAGGAATTCTGCACACGGGACGTGGGTCCCCCCGCCGACCCCAGCACCCCAGGAGAGCTTGGGGCCATTTGCCCTGGGGTCAGTGACCTTCACATCAATTACCTGGTTAAGGTGGTGATTTTGAGAGACCCCTGCTGTGCGGTGCCCTGGGCGCCCCCCGCCCCTGGCCCTGTGTCCTGGCACCCCGCAGTGGGGCTGGGATAGAAACCGTGCTCTGAATGACTTTTTTCTTAAGATTATTTTAACTTTTTAATGTTTATTTTTGAGAGAGAGAGAGCGTGAGCGACTGGGGGAGGGGCAGAGAGAGAGGGAGACCCAGAATCCGAAGCAGGCGCCAGGCTCCGAGCTGTCGGCACAGAGCCGGGCACGGGGCTCGAACCCACGAGCTGTCAGAGCGCGACCTGAGCTGAAGTCGGGCCCTTAACCCGCTGAGCCGCCCAGGCGCCCCTTTCTTGAGATTATTTTTTTAATGTTTATTGTTGAGCCAGAGAGAGAGAAAGCGCTCGAGTGCGTGCATGGGAGAGGGGCAGAGGAAGAGAGGGAGAGAGGACCCCAAGCAGGCTCTGAGCTGTCATAACAGATCATGACCTGAGCCCATATCAACAGTCGGACTCCTGAGCCGCCCAGGCGCTCCACTTTGAATGACTTCCGACCTTTCTGCCCCATCTTTCTCAAGCATGCTCCCCAAACCCAAGTCTGCTGCAGACGCTCGGGGGGCCTGGGACGGGCCTGGCTCTGGTGTGGCCGGGGTGGGGGGAGGGGCGTCGGGTGGGGTGCCAAGAGAGGGCCCCTGGACCAGAGGGCTTTAGTGGGCAGGGGACCTTGCAGGGCCAGTTGAGGGGGCATGCAGGTGGCAGGAATTGTCCAGGTGGGGACAGCGTAAGGGAGCAGGAGGGACACCGCTGGGGAAGCGCCGGGAGAGACAGCGGTGCCGGGGATCGGTGAGGGCAGACCGTGTGCTAAGGGCCAGATCCGGCCTGGATGGGTGGGCAGGAGCCAGCTGGCTGGGGAGCATCCCAGCATCTTGCACCCGGAAGAGTCCTGCTGTGCAGGAGCGAGAGCCCAGGGTCAGAGCGGACCCAGAGACAGTAGGCCCACCGGGCAGTGGTGATGGGACAGCAGGAGCCTGGGGACCCCGACGCAGGTGCCTCGGCGCCGTCCCCGGCAGGTCTGCTCCTAATGATGCTTTCCTCTCGCCCCCCACAGGCCTCGGCCGTAAGCCCAAAGCCAAGTGAGCGTGCCCGCTGCCGGCCTCCACACAGCCGTGGGCCGCCAGACGTGTGGTTGAGCGGGGCTCCTCCGGGGCCAGGCTGGGACTGGGCCCCTGGGAAACCAAAACTCTGTGCCTTACCCTCCGGGGCCGTGGGCCTCCCGGAGCTTCCTGGGGCGTTCTGGCCGAGACCCCAGCAGGCACCAGAGCCCAGCCCCCCGCACGCCCCAGCCCCCTCGTGGTCCGCTTGCCGAATGCCGATGCCCACGCCGGCGCCTGCATGCTCCCCAGCACCTGCCCGCAGGGGTGAGGGGCAGTGGCTGTGTCCCCAGGGCACCTTGAAGCTTGCACCCTGCCCTCCGGCCACCTGGTGCCCAGATGCTTCTGGAGACAGGCCCTCGAGGACCTCTCCCTGCAGAGCCGTGGGAGCCCCCGCCCCCGCCCGCTGCCTCCTTACCGAGCCTCAGTCCCCCGCTCCCCGCTCTGCCCCCCAACCTGCTTCGCCAGGCCGGAGCAGAGAGTGGTTTTTCACTGAAATAGGGTTGTTCATCGATTCCTGCTGTCCTGCGGTAGCAGAGCTGGGTACAGGTGGGTGGGAGGACCCTGGGGCCTTGGGTAGGGGCAGGCTGGCCAGCATTGCCACAGATACGCCGTGGTCCCCCTACTCAGCAGACAGGATCCACACTGGGCACGCCCAGCCCTGGGGGCAGGAGGGCATCTGTTCTCACTGCCCCCGCCAGGCCCTCGCCACCCTTTCGACAGAGTGACCCAGCCTGCAGCCGCCGCTGCCTCCGGCGGGGTCGGGCGCGCCCCCCGCCAGGCCTAGAGGAGACCCAGGGCCCACCCCGGGAGGGCCAGCCTGCCCGCGCCCCCACACCCGCCCCAGGTGTGCCCTGCCACCCAGGCTAGCATCTGGAGAGCCTCAGACCAATAAACAATAAAGAGCAGAGCCAGCCCAGCGAGGGCCACGTGGTTTCAAGAAGCTGTGGGCGAACGTGCAGGGGCTGGACGGTGCCCGGAGGGGTCTGCCCTCCAGCAGCTGTGATGCGCTGGGGGGAGGGGGGGCGAGCGGGCCGGAGCCCACAGGGCACCCAGAGTGGCCTGAGCAGACGGTAGACACCCCCGAGGGCGGGTGACACCCCCGAGGGCGGGTGAGGCAAGCAGGGCTCTTGGGGGCAGAATTTATGTACATATGGCTCACCCGCTGTGGGTGTGTAATTCGGTGACTTTTCAGCAGATGCACGAGATGTTCAAGCACCAAGATCCTATTCTAGAATATTCCACCATCCCCCAAAAGTTCTCTTAGCGCTCACTCCGCATCCCCCCTCCCCCAGCCCCCAAATCTGCCTTCTGTCTCGTGGATTTGCTTTCTGTGGACCATTCGTATGAACGGAATCCCAATACGTGGCCTTCTGTGACTGCTACGCTCCACATGGCGTGCTCTCGAGACTTCTCCGTGTCGCAGCGTGTGTTGGCACAACACCCCTTTTTCTAGCTGAGTAACACCCCGCCGTCTGGCGGGGCCTCGCCCTGCTCCCCCTTCGTGTGCACGACCCCGCGTTGTTCGGCGCGAAGCGTTTGCGCGTATCCGCACGCCTGTGTTTGCGCCTACGCGTGCGCTCGTTAGGCTGGGGCTACGTGACCGACGTCTTAGGAAACTGCGGCCCGCCCTCTTCGCCCCTGCCGCATACTGTCTTCACCCCTGCCGTGCAGTCTTGCGCTCAAGGGTGCAAGCGTCCTGCAGGCATCTGTGGTGTCTGCGTCCTGGACCACCGTGTATGATGTGGTTCATGGTGGAAACCCCATGGGGCTGAGCCCGAGGTCACACGGTGAGGCCCCCGAGCTTGCTGACTTGTTCCTCCACCACCCTGGTGACAGGCCCACTGTGCACAGGCCACGGCAGAGGGGATGTGTTCTAATTCAGGCAGGGCCGTGTGACCGGCAGGGCCCCAGCTGTTGGGCCAGGACAGGGCTGTTTATAGAAAAGCCCAACCCCGCCCCCTCCCACCAGGCCCTCTGGCTATTTATAGACCGGGCTTGGGGGAGTCGGTGCCCCTGCCGGACAGGGTTTGGCCCTGCAGATCCCGTGTGAGCCCCCATGCTGTCCCCACTGAGCCCCAGGCTCCCCCAGGAAGGGCTCCAAACTAGCACCCCCCCCCCCTTCGGCAGAGAGAAACATCCCCATCTGACGTGACTCGCACATCCCCTTCCCCTCCGGGGCTCCTGTGGCCTTTCGGAAGGCTGGGCTCCTTCTTCTGCAAATGCAAACAACCCTTCCCGCCTTCTCGGTCCCTTCTGCTACAACCATGCCTTTCCGACTTTTCCGTGTCTGCACAGCCAGTTCCCCTCCCAGCCCCCACTCCCAGAAACACCCAAGCCCCCTGCCACAGCCTCTCCAGGCTGCCCGAGGCCTTGGGCCCCACCCTCAGCCTGCTCTGCCTGGCCTTCCAGAAGGCAGCCCGCCTGCCCCTGCACTACCAGCCGGGGCGGAGGGGGGCTGTCGCCCAGGGGGGCCAAGGACGGGAGGCCTGCCTGCACCCTGGTGTTTGCCCCACAGCAACTCCGGGAGGAAGGAACCGCGGTGTCCCCGTGTCAGAGAAGAGGGTCTGGGCCGCGGAGGGATCCCAGCCAGGACCCCAGCAGGGGGTGGGCCGAGGAGGGGACAAACGAGGGGCAGGTTGGCAGTGCAGTCCTGAGCTGGGACTCTCTGTGAGTGACTGTGTGGCAGCCAGAGCCTGCTCTCTCTTCCTCCATGGGAGCTCTGGTCCCCCCACCGGAATCCACGGAGCCCCGCGCTCCCTGAGCCCTGGCCACAGGTTAGTTGCTGGGCTCTGGGGGCCTCTGTACTGAGACTGCCCCCCCCCCCCCCGC